CTTTTGTGGTCATGATGTGATAAATAGCACAATCTTGCCACGCACGAAGTATGGTCGCACGTTTAGTGCAAAGTTTGCATCAAAAACAGTCATTCTATAAAAATCGCTTTACCTTCGACACCGCTTCCGGCAAATTCGGAAAGGTTTATGTCGACAAAACCAAGCTTCACAAACGACTTGCCGCCTTTTTGCTCCTAAAAGTTTTAAGATTTGTAGAAAGGTAAGATGTGATCAAAAATACCTTTCGTATTGATATTCTGCATAAACATCGTTCTAGCATGCCCGAAGTTGGATCAGATGTTATTCGACAGCAAAAGTTCGAACGATGCGACCACGAACAGCTGTTGCGGAACACCTTAGGAAACGTTTGATAGCAGTGATTTGCAATGAGTAAGCAAAGCTGGGCCAGGCAGCTACAGTTAAAAAACGAACTTCCACACGCTCTGTACAGTCATCGAAGGTCCCACCATCCAACAATCGAATTTTAGCAAATAGAACAGCATTCACGAGGGGCACATCACTGAGATTACACACCTAGAATGAGCTGAAAGAAGCATAAGATCTGAATGCTATTTAATTCACAGAGGATATGTAGTTGAATAACGGTGAGGATGCACGACATGCAAAGTGACTGGCTGAGGAGTACGACGTACCTGCAAATCAACACTAAACTTGACCTTCTTGCGTTTGAGAAAAGCCATTTTATGCCATAACCAGTCGACGAAGAAGTAGCGGCCTGCAAAATAACTTTTCCAACATCAAAATCGCATAGTACAGGAACGCTCAGTAAGTAATGAATAGGCAAATGGGAAAATCAATGGCAATGTGAGGTAAATGCAAGCGGGGAAAACTTGGTAAAAAAGTGCGCTTTCTTCCGAGAAAAAAAAACCAAAGTAGAATGAGATCGGAAGCAATTAATAACTGAGTCTCCAAGCTAAGCAATTATCATCTCCTAATAAAATCGCTGATTGATAACGGCTAGGTATTTCTAGCCATAAATATCAATCATCATATCTATGACCCACTCGAGATGACCAACTATTTACGGCACAAACTTTAGAGAAGCGTGGACATAAGCGGCAGAGACGACAACTGGCAGCAGAGCGAAATTCGCGACACGTCTCAAGTGCTTAACGTGCGTTGGCGTGTCGATGGAGCAACTACGTCCAATACACCACACCCACAATAGATACGAGCATTTGAAAGGAGAGCTATGAACTTACGTTTCATACGACTTCGTAGCATTAACGCTGCCGATGGCTTATTGTTTGGTAGCAGCATTTCTGAAATAAAACACATCACTGGAAAAGAAGCCAATGTTTCTGCGAGACAAAGAACTATGTAGGTAATGTTCACGCATCAAAGCTCATGACTATGTACAATCAGAAGGAATCAGTAAGATTTGCAATTTGAAGATCAAATTTCTCAGTATCGTGAACGGATTTCTAGTGGAGTAGTAAATTCGAACGCTGTGGAGTAAGTTCTATTCAGCTTCACCGCACTGTTTTCTAAAATCAGATGGTGTCGAGTCCGAAACTAATTACCTCTTAAAGCTACGGAGGTGGTTTTTAGGCACATAGATATTTGAGCAGCCAACCCTTCTTTAATGTAAATAAGATATATTCCTAGAATAGCTTATCGTACGTTTAATTGTAGGTATTATATAGTATATTATGAATCAAACAACGGTTGCATCACTTTGCTAGGTATTTTGTTATCACAGCTGGGATGGACGATGATGGGACAGATTTGCTTTTCTCTGATGTCATCCTTCCAAATCCCACAAGCGGGTAATCAGTCTTTGAGCGACAGTGCTAGGACTCTAATTACAAAAACTGGCTATATGGCTTTGTGTAAATGAAGTGCAATCAAGTTCTAGGCATTTTCGAGCACAAAGTCTTTTTACCAAATTGAATGTAACTTATTTATTACATTGCATAATCACTGGTGCTTGAAGCTGCCGCAACCAAAGCACACCATATAGGCGAGAAAAGGAAGACCATAATGGAGATGATGCAAAGCTGGTAGTTTAATTTTGGCATGACTATAATCCCTCTCCTGTTCTTTAAGAAGTTTATATAGACCACCATTTACCGATTTTTTCTGAAACCATCAAGAGGTGTGAAGATTTTGGAACAGAAGCAGGTTGCCTGCTACTTTGATGAGAAGAGATTTTCCATATCGGCCATAAACCATACTGGCCGTGTGTCACGCTGTTGGTGTAAACAGGAGGTGTTGTGAAGGGCTTAGGTCGTGATAATCACTCTCGATATGTGATGTCCGGTTTATCCGCTTAGGGGGTGAAACAGCTAATTAGCGTAGGTGCTTGTGTATACGCCTTCATGGCAACGAAACCGCCAATCCACACCGCGCACGTTCTCTTCGCTCAAGCACATTACGGATGTATGTAAATCGTTGAGCGTATGTTTGAATGATTCATAGCGCTGGCTCTTGCTAAAGGGAACAAGCGCTGTTCGTGCAGAAGTGACATCACGACCTGGAGACACACGGTGATAGTGCAACGTTGCACAATGCATTCTGCACACGGCCCGGCCCCCGGGGCTCGCTGACGAGGACGGAGAGCGGATGATCGCGCTCGCCTGGGCTGGGAAGCTCTAGGAGATCGGATCTAGGAGCTGGATAGGAAGACCAGCTACGTGTTGCCTCATGTTTGCTTTAGAGGATCCCGAGTCAACGAAC